CGGTTTGTCCAAAAAAAAAAAAAAAAAAAAAAAAAAAAAGTGCTAGTACCCTAAAGGCAGAAGGGGACCTGTCCTGCTACACCTCCATCTCAGCCACCAGATCTAACCCCAAAGGTTTCAAAAGCAAAAGAACAGGCAGTACCTACCCTCCACAGTCCCACAGGTTTAACACCAGGTTTCCTAGAAATCTAACATGGGAGTGTTCCACATCAACTGGAAAGAGACAACAGGAGTTTACTAACTGTGCCACTCACCAGACACAGCCAGAGCAGCTTCAGAGCAGTCAGCTGCCTCCTCAGGCATTCTTCACAACAGAACTGACAGTGTATAAAATTCCATCTAAACAGCATTGTAGCACATAAATCTGAGGCTGAGCAAGCTATGGGTAAGTACAGATGCCAGAGTAGCTCAAGTCTTCCCACTGCTTAACTGGGATATTGTTCTGCTAAGAAATACAGTAGGTGTGTCCTCTTTAACAACATTCTCTCCAATGTTCGCGATATTTTAAGAATTATACCAGCACCAGCACATTCTGCAAGGCTTCAAGCAAGCCTTAAAAATAAAATAGTAATCAGAATTTTGGGTTTTTTTGAAAGGCATGCCCAATGCATGGCAAAGAGGAAATACCACCAAGGACAGACCAATCTGTGACATTAAGTCTTCACAGGGGTTTCCCCATGCCCCCCATTAGAATCCTCATAGATTCAAACCACTTTTTTTTTTAAACCCCCCCTTCATTATTTTTTCATTTATTTTATTCTTTTAAACCTCCCTTTATTTTTTTTTTTTCTAAAAAAAAAAAAAAAAACTCCCCTCCTTTTGTTTTCATTTATTAAAAACCTCCCTCTACCTTTTTTTTAAGACACACCCCCACTTTTTTTTTCCCCCACATCACTTTTTCAGATCAGTAGCTTTTAAGAGAAGCACAAAAGCCTTAAGTCACCAAGAAGGACTAGAGCAGCATCCTGCCAAACCACAGGTGTTTATGACAAGGCCACTATGTCCCCTGAACGGCATCAGGGAGCAGCAGGCCAGCACTGGGAAGGCTTCTCTGATGAGAATGACTCTGAGAAGACTGTGATCACTTCTCCAATATCAAGGGTAGCAGCAAGGCTGCTTCCTGATCTTTTAAAAAGTCTCTCTCCTCTAATGACTAGACTTTAAGCCCTTACACTTTCCAATTCAAGTGACAGAAAACTTACTTGTGGCACCCAGGCGTCGCGTGTCCCTGGCAATGTAGTTTGCAAAGATGATGGACCTCATGCTGGTCTTCCCAGACCCACTTTTACCCATCAGCAGCACCTGAAAAGAAAGAGGGAGAACCAACTGGTTACCACAGAGCACCAGGTCCTCCAGGCCTCCCTTTGGGTTAGGGTGTTACTGATGGAACAACTGAAAGATGGGATTTGAATGTCTCTGAAGCCAGCAGCAGAGTGCTGCACCTGGAAAATTAGGAGATGGAAAGATGGAAGTTCTTAACTCCTTGCTAAGTGTAGTCGCTGAATCACAGTTGAAAGGCTAAAAACACATTCATCTTGTTTGCATCCGTGAAAAGACACCCCCTCCTTTCTTCTCTTTCAGGAATCTCTCCCTGCTAGACACTACGCTCCCGTTCCAAGATTGACAGCTCAACACCCAGAAGAAAGCACAGCCAGCCCACAGACACCAACAACCACAGCCCCTTTCTAGCTCCTTCCTAGCCCCCAGAACTGGTGAAAAGCCCGGCTTGCTCCCGAGGCTGCTCTTGGTCTCTCCCTTTCCCCCATCCCTGCGTGTTTTCTGAAGGCAGGGGCACCAAGGTGAAAGCTTGGTGAGTTTCTGGCAAGAGCAGAGGGCTTAAGCAAAACAAAGAGCAGTTTTATCTTGAGTTTTTAGGCCTAGACTGAAAACAACTGCTTGTCCACTCAGCACCTTCCGCCCTGGTGTTCTCCCCCCAGTGCTTCTCTTCTAATCTTGCTCTTTTCCTTATTACAACACAGCTTAGTTTCTCTTCCCTGGCAGAAGTGAAATACAAGCCCCACTCTGAGTTTCAAGAGCATCAAAAGAGCAGGAAGAAATTAAAAGCAGATGTGTCAATCCAGCCCCAGCCTACCAGGCTTTTTATTTTGTAGGGGGACACAGACTTGATCCCTGTGTCCTGCTGGCAGACCATCACACCAAAGACAACAGCTGTAGTTAACAGGTAGCAGAAAACCAGGGAAGGAGGGGACACACCATCAATCACACATACGGAAAGACTCTACGTGGTGATTTAAAAAGTCTGTGACAGCCAACACGGACTTGTTCACAAAAACAGCTGTTAAACAAGTTCCAGTTACAAAGCCAAATTCAGCCTTTGGCAACAGCTCTGAAAAGCTATCACGAAGAACAGTTTTAAGGAGAGCGCGGCCGGCCCGAGCCTGCCCGCCCAGCCCATTGCCGGTGCCAAACGCGGCGGCAGGGGCGCTTGCTCAGCGCGCTGGGCTCGCACGGCAGCGAGCGCTGGAATCTGGGAGCCGGGCAGGAGAGGCAGGACCAGCCCATCCTGCTCACGGGAGCCACCTCTCCAGGGGTGACCGCAACATTTCGCAGCTGGTAAATCCTCCTTTGAGACAAGCTGACCACACAGTTAAGGCCCAAGTGACAGAGTGTCCCACTGATGGTTCAGAAGCACCTGGAAGAGCAGGCCTTGAAGGCTTTCCAACAAGGACTCTCATCTTCAAAGCAGCAGGTTATACTGACCACTTTTTCTGAAACAAATCCCCTAAAAAATGCCCTGTTTTCTTCCATTACCTGCACATAGAGTAACGCTCCCCCCAAAACAGCATTGCCTCTAATTCCATACACCTGCAGGAGAAGCGCATGCAGAAGCTCACTATAGCTTGAGAGCACAAGCCAGTCTAAAAGTTAATCTAATCCCTGAATTTTAGGGTGCACTGGACTTTCAGAAAGGCCTGGAACCAGCGCTTGGGGCCAGGGAGAAAAGCCGACCCCAGCATGAGGCAGACAGACTGTGGCATGAGGCAGACACAGTCCTGTCCTCGTTACGCAGCCATTTGGACAACTTTGAACACGTTCGCTGCAACATGCCCAGCCCCAAGCGCAATTAAGAGCACTGCTGCTTCACTGTGCACTCAGCTCCATCCTCCCCGGAGCCTTCAGGAGCTTCCCGTGTGAGTCCAGGGCCTCAGCGCAGGCCAAGGAAGCTGGTGGGAGCTTGTCACAAGGTGCACGGAAAGCGTTTTAACGCGCTGACATGCTTTGGCACCGTGCACCAGGTGCATTCCCATAGCAGTCACGGCAGACGGGCCTGCTGTGCCCAAACGCTCTGCTCAGCAATAAACTCCAGTTTGCTTTTGAGTTCTAACCTTTTAAGTGAAGAAACGCACCTATCAACTGCACGAGGGCCCTGAGAGGGACCTCACAAGGAGAGACGCACCGAGACACGGGCACAAACGCGGCACGACGCAAGGGAAGGGGGCCGGGAAAGAGACCCTGCCTCGGCCCTTACCTTTTTCTTCATGGCTGTGCTCGGCATCACCCACCTGCGGGGACAAGAGCGCCTGGTTAGGGCCTCTGCGGGGCCCCGCGGAGCCACGGGGAGGCCTCGTGGGACCCGCCCCCCGCGGCCCACCCGTGACCAACGGTCACACGC